TTTTCAGCTCCAGAATCTCTTTTTGCCTTCTCTTCAGGTTTTTAAAATCTCTTGATTGTTCCATTTTGTTTACACATTGTTTTCCTGACTTTCTCCATACCTACCTTTAGTTCTTTGAGCATCTTTAAGGCAGTTGTTTAAAATTTTGGTTGTGTATCTGTCATGTCTCTTTCAAGGGAAGAGTCTGTTGAATTATTTTTTCCTTTGAATGGGCCTCGTTTCTTCGTGTCTTGCATTTTTGTTGTTGTTGAACACTGGCCATTTTAATCTAATTACATGGTATCAACTCTGGAAATCAGATTCTCCCTCATCTGCAGGGTTTTCTGGGTTTTGTTTTATGACTGTTGTAGGCTGTCTCTGTACCGAGAGGCAGTCCGAGGTATAAACGTAATGTCTTCAGGTCTTTGAGCCTTTCCCTGGGCACGTGTGGTCTTTCTCCTTTTCCCCATATAGGCAGTTGTTTTTGACTGTGCTAGTTTTTAATGTTTGGCTCCTAAAAGGAAGGGGAAGATGCGAAACGTGCAAAGCAGGGAGCAAACTGCCGCTGGACTTCTGAGGCAGAGGCGTACATTGATGGGGGCGAGATGAGACAACAGCTGCCTGCCTCTTTGCATCTCAGTAATCAAGCAGAAATCCCACTCAGGGCACAGATCCTCCATATCCAGGGAACAGTGTCCTTTTTGCCCACCCTAGCTCCCACAAGCTGTGTCAGAAAACTTGCAGAGCTGCCTGCCATGTTGCTGGTTGCAGTGGATGGGTAGCTTCTATTGTGCTAGCTAAAATTAACAAAAACTGCCTACAATTTACTGTCCATGCCTGGAAGTTGTAAGGCTTTCATAAACTCCCGAATTCCAAAATAGTTACATCAGACAGATTCTGCCACTGAAGCTGTTCTCTCAGTGGGAGATTCCTGGTGCTTCCTACTCTTCAATCTTCCTAGAATCCTCCTTCACTTCACATATGATAAACCAGTGAGTGCAAATAGATTTAAGATCACTGTGGCCTGAAGACCATAGATCCATTTTGTAGATCCACCCCGAGTTAAGTTGTTGGCTGGTTCCCAGCACCTCAAGGACCAAGATCAGGTTGTAGGGATTGCTAGGAAACCATGTGGTTCTGGCCTCCACATTTTGAGGCAAGTAACAGGAATGAAGGGCCACTGAAGTAAGGGATGTGAAGGGGAGGAAGCCCTCACAGATGAAAAAGGGAGGAAGCCAATTCACTGAGCATCTGCTGAGTACTAGTTTGGGTATAGTGTGCTCAATGCTGAGATAGGGATGAATAAAGGAATGTATGAGTTCCTTGATGTCTCAGTGGAGGGTCATGAGTTTACTGTGTTTAGGCTGGTATCACCTTTAGGAAGACTATGGTATCTGTAGAGGGCAAGGGTATATAGGCGGGTTCACAGTTTTACACTGAAAATATCAAAGTTCTCACTGTGGAAATGTGGTTGTAAGCAGATATCAAATCAGTAGAGTAACTGGAGTTAGTCATTGCATTGCCAAGTACTAATCATTAGCTACTTGTTCTTCCCACCTTAGCTCCTTGGTCAAACTTTTAAGTAGCTAACTTCTTGATGTAGGCATTATGATTTTTTGCTTTAAAGTTATTTAAGCAAGCACATCATCCAAGCAGACCCAGGACAGAAATATTTAATGCCTCAGGAAAGGCTTAGACACTTGGGGGGTACTTCTAATATGTCAAGTAAGCCAGGTTTGAAATACATATCCCAGAACTCCTTCCTTACAGTTTTAGTGAAGACCACATGATCTGTGCGATTCAGAAGATGGCAGCAGTGCCACAGCTAGATCCTTTTTACATGTGGAAGTGTAAAGGGGGCTTAAGTGTCTGATGCGTGGGACGCACCCAGTAGTTACGACCCGTTTAAGCCCGTGGCTGTAGGGCAGCTGTTCCTATGCACTGTTCTTAGCGACTCGTACCAACCTTACCCGTGTCAAAGCCTGAGGATTCCACTACTTGCCCTTCATTATGTTAACAAGGTGGGGGTCCCTCCAAACAAAGATACTGAGGTGTTTGCTCAAAATGAGCAGGGTGCAGAGGAAAACCTTTTGCCTTTTCTTGCTCCAGCCAGATTCTAGTGAGGATCTAATATCTGGTTTGTTTTGCACTGTGAGTAAGGGTTCACGATGTGACATCAGCTCTTTAGGCCTTCATACTGTGATATATCCAAGAAAAATGCAACTTAAGAGGAAATACTTCTTTAACACACAACAGCACCTGACACATGCTTACTGACATTTTACATATTTATTAAAGGGCACAATTAAACCTCTTCACTTCCCAAACCGAACCTACCTTACAATGAAAATGGTGGAATGTCTACTGGTTAATGAAAACACAGAATCCTCTTCTTTTTCTGATTATTCAGTTCATTTGAACAAAGAAGCGTAATTCCATTGCCTGTACCCCAGTGTTGATCTCCAGTTGTGTCTCAGAGCAAGGAGCAGGACAGTGTTGTCTCTTGTCAATTTTCTGAGGTTTCATTTTTTCAGCTGGGCCCCCAAAGTAGTTTCCCAACCAAAACAACTTTTTTCTTGAAGACTGTTTGAGCAAAACTAAGAATAATGGTGGGGCTGGGGCACTTCCCAGGTGGTTCAGTGGTAAAGAGTCCGCCAGCCAGCGAAGGGGAAGCGGGTTCAATCTTTGGGTCAGGAAGATCCCCTAGAGAAGAAAACAGCAGCCTACTCCCATATTCTTGCCTGGAGAATCCTACAGACAGAGGAGTCTGGTGGATTACAGCCCATGGGGTCACAAAAGAGTCAGACACAACTTAGTGATTAAAACAACACAACAACAAGAATAATGGGAAATCACATTTGTTTTTCTGAATTTATTTAAGGAACACAAAAAAAGTGCATCTGAATAGTTTTAAAAACCAATTTGCTTTTAATTCATCTGCCTCACCACTCCAAATGCAGTCTAAGAGACAGCTGATTTCTAGACAAATTGTTTAAAATTACTGAATTTGATACAAGAGTACATGAAGTTTGTCTTGAGTGGTGAGGGCACCCTGTAAGAGTTTGCTCTGAACCACCTGCCCACCCTTCCCTCTCTCTCTCCACACACTTTCTTTCCTGTTCCCGTGACCCATAACATAAACTAGGGAGACAGTGGGCTAAGAGAATCTAGTTTTAGGAATAGTATTTTGCTTGTTACCTGCAAAAGTCTAACTGGCCTTTTTAGGATCTAATTTCAATCTTGACCTCATTGGAGTCATGCTCTAGTCAACGGAGCTACAGATACTAGACAGTTAAGCAGATAAGCAAAATCAACTTTTGTTTTATATTCTCCAGGTGAGATTGGGGCTTTTTAAAGAAATACCTCATGAAAAAAGACAAATGTGTACATGAGAAATTAAAAAGGGTTTTAGTTATCATTAAAGGAGAAACTCAATTCCATTTGTTCCATAGAGACGAAACTGGTATAAAAAGGAAATGACTTTATGTTTTAACATGGGTCCTAACCCAAGAATAAAAGTGTTTTGTTAAAACCACCATAAAAATAAAAATGAATCTCAAATATAATTGCCAGGGTTTTTTAGGATTTAAAAAGGTGAGATGTTCCAGGTTGAAACAAATGTTTTTTGGGTTGCCAAATGCATTCCTATGAATGTTTCTTTCTTAGGCTGTGGGACTAGAAAGCCATGCTTAATCTCGCTTACCCGTAAAGACTAAAATTCAACTACATGTACATATTTAAGACTTGCCCTAATTCAATGCCCAAGTACTGGAGATTTTAGGCTAGATGAACCTGTATGGGAAGCTGTTTTCAACTCTTTTCCACAATCATACCAGAACAAAGCAGCTAGCAGTGCAGGAAAAGAAAGCTACTGCATGTCAAACCTGCAAGGAAAACGGTTAATATAGAAGAGCAATGATTTATTTTTTCAACCTCACAGATTTTGTTTTTAAAAATTAAGCTACTTAGTAGTAAAAAGTCAAAAAAAATAGAGGAGTGTAAATAAACTTCCATATATCAGTATACACGTGTTTATGAGACAGGAATTTTAAAAAGACAACAACAAAAAAATGCTTCAAGGATCCTAGATAGATAGGTTAAATAAAAACTCACTCCACGTCAAAGTTATAAGAACAAGTCTGAAATTCTTGACAGGAGAGGTTAGAATGGAAGAAAGAAACTGAACGGTAGCAATGAGCAGGCGTTACTGGATTCAACATCCTTTCCTGACAGAGGAGGGAAGAAAAAGCACAATTCAGTGTCTCAGAACTTCATCCAAAGCGGGGAAGGCTAATCCAGAACCTTCTCCTGCTCACTATCACGGAAGAGTGTTTTAGGAATGACAGGGTTCCCCCTCGGTGGACAGGCTGTGGGGCAGAAGCCGCTCTCACAGGGGGGTTGCTTGACTAAGGCGGGAAAGTCAGCAAGCGAGACGCCTCTGAGGTTCTGGCTTTCAAGTGTGTGATGCTGCTGTGGACCTGAGGGGGACCTGGCCCCTCTACGGTGGGTTCTGTTCGTTAAAAATGCAAGTTTCCATTCAGAGCACTTCAGTCATTTGAAAAACAAAACCCACCCCATCCCCAACTCTCCCCTGCCCAACTATAGGAAAGAAGAAACTCATCAAGCATTGATTTCTAGGTTTCTGCAGTGCTATTAAAGTTCAATCAAATGTAAAACCTAACAGACAGCCCCCAATTGTTAGAATAATCTCAAGGACCCAGAATTGGATATTGCAAGTTGACATCAACTGAAATGAGCGGGACTTAAGGTGCTGGCTCACGCTCCACACTGACAGGTGCTGCTCTGCTCCACCTGCAGTGGTCCCACACCACCCCCTCGATGAGACCTCTGGGCAGCAGCAGGGTGGTGGTTTTTTGGGAAGCTACTGGTTTTGCTGTTTGCTTCCAGAATCACATAGACTATAACAAACTTTACACTAAACACTGTTTAGTCCTGAGTTGGGTGAAAGCCCGTGGAGGAGGAGCAGAGTTCGTTAGGACTCTTCCCTCCATGGCGTGCTGTCATACGTGCCCTTCGGCTTTCTGCTCATCCACTGACGGACTTCCTATTTCTTTTTCGTTGGTGACCCCTTCTAAAGTCTTCTTGCTCATTGCTTTACTGGCCTCTTCCTAAGGAACAAACAAGGAATCAAGAGGGTTAGAGGAAAAAAGAAATGTCCAGTTGCTTCCTGGCTCCTCTAGACGGTCAGGTCTAATACAAGAGGGCGTGAGTACGACTGTATTGGGATTCACGGCTGGTGAGTCCCAGTGCTGCCGCCATAATTAGCCTGGGAGCATTCCCTTTTCTTTGGTTAAAGTGACCAGCCTGCCCCAGGGACAGCTTTGACTGTCAAGTCGTGACCGAGGGTCTGAGTGGATGGTCAGCGAGGACCAGAATACACCCAAGCGGTCCGGGGGGCTGACTGTTCCTCTTGGGTTGCTAGGTTGGCTCTCAAGCCTCAAAGTAAAGGGCATGGGGCGGGGCTTCCCCCTCAGAGCCTATTCCCTAGGAAGCTCGGAAGTTTTGACAAGCAAGTGTTGTGTTTGGGTTCTAAAATAATAACAAAAGCCTTAGTGCACTTCTAGGGATTAATTCCCCTCTTCTCTTGCATGGACGTGCCAGGGCCTCATGGCTGTGCCTCTGGTGAACAGAACCGCACACCTGTCTGGCTCGTCCTCTGGATCCAAGGCAGCCTTTGTGGGCTCTGAAGTCCTTTTCCCTCCTCGTGGCCTCTTGGGTTGTCTTCCTGGGCCTGTGTCCTATGGGAACCTCCTTAGGATGGAAGTCAGAGGCGCGGTCCGCCGGTCCTCCCCTCACCTGAAGGTGGGTGAGTTCTGCACGTACCTTTGCGTCCTGCTCCGCAAACTTCTTGAACATGTTGGCATAGATCCTGCGGTCCCGCTCGTTGTGCTCCTTAGCCTTTTTCTGGCACATGGAGATCTGCAGTCTTGCGGCCTTATTCTGGGGGTTTACTTCCAACACTTTCTCAAAGTCGCCCTTGGCTGACTCGAACTCGTTCATGAGCAGCTGGGCTTCACCCCGCCTGTATAAGCCCTTCTCATTGGCACTGTCCAGTCCAAGGGCCTGGGGACAGATGGGCTATATTTTAGAAAGGATGCATGTACCCTGTAGGAATTTGGAGAAAAGTCTCTGGCCAAGGGAATTAGAAAAGACCAGGCTCAAGGCAACTATATACTATTAATCAAAATAATCAAATTCATTTCTATATTTAATGCAATTTCTATAAAGATCCCAAGGATCTTTTGAGAAGTTCATTTGAAACACCAATGGGAGGAGGGCTTTTGAGAAGTTCATTTGAAATGCCAATGGAAGAAGTAAATGCCTAAGACTGGCTGAGAAAATTTTTGTAAACACAAAAATAATGAGGGGACTTGACCTACCAGAAAAAAAGATATACTATTAAACTACTGAAATTAAAACAGTTGTGAGTACTCCATGAAAAAACAGGTTAGTGGAACAGAACACAGCATTCAGAAACAGATTCATGTGTATGTATATAAAAAAGATTTAATAATCACAAAGATGGTAACGTAAATCATGTAGAAAAAGGATTAACTTCAATAAATGGGGTTAAAACAGTGACTATCCATGTAGAAAATAAGACAGTCTATGTAGAAAATAAGATTTAGATTCTTACCTCATAAACACAAAAATAAATTCTAAACCAAATATATTTACATGCAACCCCCCATAAAAATATAATACGGTTATTTTTTTTTAAAAAAGCAAACCTAGCTGGAGTAGGTTTAAGTACCAAACAGTTATTTTTTTTTAATAATCTTAGGATGTAAACAAGCAATTCAGAGAAGAAATACTAGTTATTTCAATATAAGTAATGCAACTTAATTAGTAACCAAGAACTAAAAATGAAAATAAGAATTTTCTGTTGTCAAGAATACTGAGGAATCACTGATAATATTCAATAATATATAAAGTATTAAAAAATTTAAACATATCTAAGTATATTGACAGAATGTCTTTCGACCCAGTATTTCGACTTCTAGGGATTTTTTCCTAGAGAAATAATCCCATACATGTGCAGAGAGACACTATATAATTTGTAACATCAAAACCCTGAAAATCTACCAAAATGGGTTGGTTAAATAAATTGATAAACACATACACTGGATACTAAACAGACTTTAAAAAGAATATGATGAACTGATAAGATGTGGAAAGATGTCCTTATTTTCTAGAACTATAAATCTATACATTCTCATTAAAAAGTACACATACATGTTACTCTACTTATGGACATGGAAAAACAAGAGGAATCTGTGTGTGAAGTGAATGACCGTGGTCTTGGGAGAGGGTCAATGGGAATTTTATGAATGGACTCAGGTTTTTAGATGTTTCTGTAATGTCTGAATATTGAATGACTTTATACTACTTCTATAAAGAAAGAATAACAAAGGTTTAAAAATGTAATAATAACATTATTCTCTCAGGCAAAATACCATTTAATATATTTAATATATTATGTTATATATTTCACATAACATACTGATCCACAAAATTCAAAATTTTAAAACTCAATCTTACAAAGAAGGCCTGAAATCGTTGCTTGCTTTTCTTGTTCCCTTTGACTGTCTTTAAGATACATCCAGTTACTAGCTTGTACCCATAGTAAAATGTACACTGTTCACTCTGGGACCTAATACCTGACACAGTAGCATCATTAGTATAAAAAAGAACAGAATCATACATGTGGTACTTCTACTGGTCTTTTAGTACTTAGGTACTGCTTACCATGTTAATAGTACAGATGTAATGAAGGGTGCTGATGCTTTGTGGGTCTTGCAAATTATTTATGTGTAATCCTAGGCAGTGAATAAATATAATAAAAAAGTGACTTGTATATATCCCTGGATGAACAATCACAGCCTAAAGACCTAAAAGGCTTAATAAGTTAAATCTGTTTTTATAAAATTGTGTAATCTGCTATCAAATACCATAGACTTAAGGTCATGGATAAATATTGCTTAATTTTATCAAAACTTTTAATTCATAATGTATTATTATAAACAGTCTAGGCATGAAGAAAGTATGACTATAGTAAAAAAAACTTTCTGTATTTCCCAGTTCTTACTGAGAAATAAATAATCCCAAACAAAACAAAACGAAACGAAAAACCCAAACCTTGGCTGAGAGGAAGTGGAAGGTGACTAAGCATGAAGACAGGGAAAAAGATCCAGACTATGTAACGTTCATCCCACACGCAGACACTTTACCTTGTCGCAGCACTCCACAGCTTTGGTATATTCTCTGAGCTTCAGGTAGCACATGGCCAGGTTCAGGAAGGCAGCAAGCAGAAATGACTCAGAAGCTTTCGACTCCTTTTCTGATAAGCCATATTCCATCTCTAACCAGGACACTATCTTCCCATACTGAATCACCGCCTGCAGGTACTTGCCTCCCTAAGAGAGAGGAGCTAGTAATTACTTGCTGTACTGGCTCTGGAGCGAGTTCAAAGGGAGCGTGAGCTCAGCCCTCCCGGAGCGAAGCAGACCCTCGGAAGGGAGCCACCAGCTCGTCCCAAGCAGGCTGTGCGAGTGCCCTGCTCTCCAGGCACCGCTCCCAGTTCCTTCTCAAGCCCAGTGACCTCCGAGCTGCTGCAGGGCGGGCACCGTGATGCTCTTCGCCAGCATTTGCCATCTCACCCTTTTCAGCACACGGGCATCAAGGCTTTTGGGTTACCTTCTTTGGTGCCAGTATTTACCGAACTTTCGTGAGGCCCGTGAATAGCTGTGGACTATGTCACTAGTTTACTCGGAGGGAAGTCACTTTCCCCTTTTCTCCTGACGATGAGTCGTGCACAGCGGACACTATATTCTGGTAAGTGCTAGTCCCAAACCCAGCAGATCTTCGTTAGCTAAACCAAGGGTTGGCAAACTTTTCCTATAAAAGGGAAGATAATACTGTAGGCTTTGGAGACCAAACACCTCTGCTACAACTCTGTTCTGGGTACGAAAGCAATGACAGACAATATATAAACAAAGGGGTGTGGCTGAGTCCCAGGAGAGCCCTGCCTACAGAAACAGGCTGTGGTCTGCTAACCACTGATCTATAGACTGAGGGAATATACACAATGAACAGCTGTCCAGCATACCTAACTATAAAACAAAAAAAATCACACAGGTGTTAGTCACCTGACTACATGAGAAAGACTTATTTTCGCTCTCAGTAACAACTGTGAATAAAAGTTGTATAATTCACATGAATGATATATATGCTCTATTACTGTAGAAAGGAGGCCCTGATTGTCAATTTCTGGTGATGAGGATGGGTTAGACACAGTTCCAAGTGGACGGCCTAGGTCTGAGGGTACAGTCTTCCTGGGCTTACAAGGGGTTACCTCCCAGTATGCCCAGGGAAGCTGAAATGCATTTCATATATCTCACCTACTGAACAGCGTAGCTCAGACTGACCTACCTTCAGTGTGATCTAGCCTACAGTTGGGCAAAATCATCTAACACAAAGCCTATTTTATAATAGAGTGTTGAATATCTCATGTAGTTTATTGAATACTGTCCTGAAAGTGAAAACCAGAAAGGTGTGTGGGTCCAGAACCGCTGCGTCAGTTGTTCAGCCCTGTGATTCCATGGCTGGGAGCTGTGCTCACTGATGATGACATCACCAGTCTGGGACGAGGCAAACCCAAATTCAAAGTATGGTTTCTACCGGATGCATGCTGCTTTCACACAAGTGTAAGTTGGGGACTGGCTGTCCCTGTAGTTTGTCGTAAGCCTTAGGCCCCACTACTCAAGATTAAAGTCCTTACCAGCTTCAGGGGCTGGCATTTTCTGTCACTGTCTTTGCTCTTGCTGGATTATGAGCTTTTGGGGACAGGAAGCATGCCCTATCCCTTTTGGAATATTCAGGGTTTAACACGAGGTGGCTATTGATGATGGTTTGCTAAATAAATATTAAGGTCAAAGGAATATAACTATGGAATCCAGTTTTTCAATCATCAGGAGCAAGATGGAGGTATGGGTGAAAATGAAAGGTGTCTTTTTGTTTCGATTCAGTGAGAAGGGCAGGCATTTTCCCTGTTATGTCTAGTTTCTTCTTCCTCTCACTCATCCTCCTCTAATTACCTTTCTATCTAATATCATAGAGGAAGGAAAGGGCCAGGGAGGACAAAGACCAGATCCAATCACTTCAGCAGGTTCTGACTATCAGAATCATAGAGGCTATAGTTTCTGAAAGAACATAAAACCCCCCAAAGTATTAGACTTTACGTAAATATTCTTTACACTTAAAGAGCATTTTACTTTCTTGATAGTCCTTTCATATATAGTATAAATAATTTTTATATCTCAACTTAAAATGAGCAAAGATCTCTGTTATTTCTGGCTCTGATGGACTAAAATTGGAGTTCTCCACTAGGGTGATTCTGTCCCCAGGTGCCCACCTGGTAATGTTTAGAGATGTTCTTCAGTTGTCACAGCTGGAGAATGTGTGTGTGTACTACTGGCATCTAGTGGGTGGGGGCCAGGGCTGCAGCTAAATGCACAGAACCACCTCCCACCAAACAGAATTTTACAGCCCCAAATGTCAACTGTGCTAAGGTTGAGAAGTCTTCTCTTTCCTTCACACTTTTAGAGCAAAAGAGGGTTTTGAGTTTTTCTTAACCTAAAATCCAAGAGTCATAGACAACTTGTTTCTGAATCAGAGTACTGGCTTCCTGGTTCAGTAATGGTGGTCAAAACATAGCAAATCCTGGTGTGTCTGCAAAGGGCCCTGTGGCTGAAAGATGAGCTTCATTCAGTTGCTTTAAGAATGCTTTATCCCCAAGGAGCACGAGGGGGCGCAAGAACCTCTTGGTAAGAAGTGTCCTCAGCCTTCTTCCCACTCTGCCTCCAAGTCAGAAAAGAGGAACGCTGACCAGGTGTGACAGCTAACACCCCTGTCTCACAGAATGCTGTCAGCTATGCGGGCACAAACCACGTCTGTCTGACCGACCTGCACAGTGCCGGGTGCAGCGTCATGTTACATGTGCTTCAGAGCCAAACGAAGATAGTCCTCTGCTACCTTTCTTCAGTGTTCAGAGGTTCATATGAGGAGTTTAATCACTTCCATCTAAAAGCTTTTTACAATTCTACCCTACCGAGAGCAGAGACTTGTCCACTTAGGTGTAAGCCAAGCCGCCAGGTCACGGAGAACAGGGCTCGAGGTGTGGGCAGCATGAACCGCCCCCGTTTCTGCTCTGGCCGCCACACCAGGGCCCTGTGCTTGCGCACAAAGCGCCAGGTCACACACCCTGAGAAGTCGAGGCCCGGGGAGGCCGCTTGGCAGACTGAAACTCGCCCTGACATCTGAAAAGGGAAGGTGTATAGGAACCCACCTACCGTTTCTAAAGTCGTACAGCTAAAACTAGGATCTCTGCTGGGATCTCTTACCTATAAATGTGAAGGTACCTCCAGGGAAGTTTTTAGTGAACAATGTTCAGAGACATTCTGGGAGAAAAAGTCTTAGGTCAGTGGTACTGAACCTTTTCATTAATTTTCCCCCAACAGACTAATGTTTTTAAAGATTTTGTCTATCAAATGGCATGTTAAAAATAATATGTTCCATATGTGTGATCCAGGTTTTATCCAAACATCAGTAATTTTAAGAGGGTTCATAACATGAAATACACAAATCACTATTGTGGTTATGATGCTAAGAAGCAACGAAGTTAAATAATTATATAGATACTTTAGCACTGATTTCTGCTGCTGATTAGAAATTATGGCCATCTCTCTATATATATTCTCTATATATATTCATGTATCTATGATACATGGCTTTGCAACACTGAGTCATCAGCAACCAGTTTCTGAACAGCTAAGCTATTTTATTATACTGAGTTGATATTGTCATTAGTGACTAAGTTGTGTCTGACTCTTTGTGACCCCATGCACTGTAGCCCACCAGGCTCCTCTGTCCATGGGGGCTTTCCAGGCAAGAATACTGGAGTGAGTTGCCATTTCCTTCTCCAGAAAATCTTCCCAACCAAGGGATAGAATCCATCCATGTTTCCTGCATTGCAGACAAATTCTTTACCTCTGAGCCACCAGGGAATCCAGTATATATGAGTTATAAATAAATATATATTATCTATACCCACAGTAAGAAATGTTTTATGATTTGTATCCACTCAACTCATTTAAGTGGGTAAAGTGACAGATGGTGTTATAGTCATGGTGTCACCGTTAAGGTGAATAATGAGCGTTACTAGCCTTTCTGGCAACCCTATGTTGATTCCTAACAGTTTAACTTTATTATTTAAAAATCTAGTAACAAATGCACTTTGCACTTTTTATATTGGGTTCAGTTCTTTTCAAAATCTGTGCATGAATTTTTATCATGTACCTAAGTGACTTCCCCAAAACAGTGGGAAGGGAAAATGATATGAAATTTACCCCTTTGAATTCTACTATTTGCTAACAATTCTTCTATTCATTCTTTGTTTTGTTGCACAAACACTTGGTGATGGCCCACTATGTACCAAGCACAGTGCTTTAGGCCTTGACTGATACATGGTGAGTGGGCAAGCCAGACCTGGTCTGATGTTATGGATGGTTACAGCCTAGATTAGAATGTGTAAAAGAGGCATTTGTAGTCTCTGTCACATTAATTCATTCTGTCTTATCATTTCTTATACTGAAAATGACAGACTTGTAAAAATTCAGGCTTATTCTTCTCCTGAAGGGTACTGACAGAATTCAGGATAGGGGAGATCAGCACAGTTCACTGACACTTGAGTGAATTCTCTGAGATGGAAAGTACTGTACAAAGACTCAGCGCACCTTGAAGTACACAGTCCCCTTCTCTTTGACGATGGCAGCCTGCTCCAGTTTCTCTTTGGTGTCCATCTCCCAGGACTCTTTGGCCTGTTGCATAAATGTGTGACAGTGGTTAGATGAACCGAGAAGGAAAAAGCATCAGCTGATGTCCATAAGAAAAAACTATAGCTACTTCTACAGAATACCCACACCTCAAAACACAGTGGCTTTTAAAACTATGCGCCCTTGCCAATGCACTGGTAGGCTAGAACTCAACTCTCCGTGAGAACAAAGGTGTAGCTTGACCCACGCTGCTCAAGAGGGAGGCTCGGACGGTAACACTGTAAGGAACATGAACTGTTGAGCACTGTAAAGAATGCATCTTTAGAATTATAAGGTGAGGCCACACAATGAAAGCTGGGGCCTCTCTTCTCATTCTGCTGCTATACTGTTATTATAATTTTGGCAAGTTGTTTCTCTCAAGATTCAGTTTTTAACTCTAAAATGGGAACACTACTGCAGGCCCTAAGTCACAGTTATATGCTCATACACGGTTTAAAAAATTCCAGGTCATGTAGTTGTCTATTCGCTGTGAAACAACCAGACCTGAGGCCTCCAAACTGTAGCAACTTGCAGAAGTTTACTTGGGAAATATCAAGGAAAGCATAATTGGGAGGACGGAGGTGATGCAAAGACATAAACAAACGCTTTCATGATCACCTGCTAATTTGTGTGTATCATTACTTTCCCGCATTACAGATATGAGTCCAGGGACAACTGCACTTTTATGAAGAACAGCTGGATCACGAGGAGTCAACAGAACAGTCTGAGAGGACCTTTAGGGGAAAAGCACTGACACAGCCACTGTCAATTTACTCATAAGAATTATGAAGCTTCAGTGGGTAAATATAAAATTCTTTATTTCAAAAGACAGTGTTATATTCCTGGTGTCACCTTTAAAGTGATAAATGAGTTACTAGTCTTTCTGGCAACCCTATGTAGATTCCTGACAATTTAACTCTATTATTTAAAAACCTAGTAACAAAGGCTCTTCGCATTTTTTTATATTGGGTTCAGTCTTTATGGATTATAAATCTGTTCTTAATATTACAAAACAGAAAATTAAATCATGTTGCTTTCAACAACATCACACTGTCACATAGTTTCAAGTATAATCTCATAGCACTGTGGTCAGAAAAGATGCTTGATACAATTTCAGTTTTCTTAAATTTACCAAGGCTTCCTCTGTGGCCTAGCAGGTGACCTGTCCTAGAGAATGTTCCATGTGCACTTGAAAAGAATGTGTATTCTGGTGCTTCTGGATGGACTGCTCTATAAATATCAATTAAGTCCATCTTAATTGTCATATGTCATTTAAGGCCTGTGTTGTTTTCTTACTGATTTTTCTGTCTGGATGATCTGTTCACTGATGTTAAGTGGGGTGTTAAAGTCCCCCACTGATTGTGTTACTGTCAATTTCTCCTTTTATGTCTATTAACAGCTGCCTTATATATTGAGGTGCTCCCACGTTGGACTGCTGTATCTTCTTGGATTGATCACGTGGTTTCAAATATACCCAACAGCAGTGCAGCCTGGAATACGCCCTTGGGGCCGTGACCGAGAACAGGCTTGCCGTGGTGTACTACGGAGTGAGTGTCCTACAGAACCACTCAGGAGTGAGAGGGCTCCTGTGTGGGCCAGGGCCAGGGCAGGAAGGGCTGGGGGTAACTTTACTGAAATGGAAACAAGAAGGCCAAAGGGCTACATAACCATGTGCAAAAGATCCTTTTTTCCCCTATTTAAAACCACTTTGTGCCATGAAGACAACTTTGGAGGATCAGGACTTCACAAGACATTACCTGACAACAAGCAGTAGCCGTGAAAAGAGCATGTGTGTGTTTGTGTCATGATTAGGAACATCACTACTAGGAGAGGATCCCAAAGCTGTCCTCCCCTTTCTCAGCCCAACATTAAGAGGCCCTCAGGACAATGATTTCCTTTCTGTGTCTAATAACATAAAAATGGTCCTGTTTCCAGTCCAAAGCTTACAGTAAAGAAGATGGAGTGGCGGAGGGATGAAAAATGTCTGCAAAATGCACTCCCAAGGTTCTCAGGGAAGGGAGGCTTTGGTGGGGCAGGGACACAGCTGGACGTGACAGTGTACCCAGCTCAGGCAAATGTTTTGTTTGTCCAGGGAAGCTGCTGCCGGGAGCCTCTGGAGGTGGATCTGAGATGGAAGTATGCTCAAGGAGGTGTGCCATTTCTGGATCCTGAGGCTAACACTTTTTTCTACTTGGACAGGTATGAAAAGAAAAAGTCTAGGGTTAACAGATTTGGTCCTTATGTCCCTTGTCACTGAGCCTGGTGGCCCACGAAGCCTTGCATTTTGGATAGTAACTTGGAGCCACAATGACGGCCTCTTCACAACTCCTGTGAAGGGTACAATCCGTTCAGCCCTGGAAAACTGCACCCCACTCCCCCAAGGAGCTGCTTGGCAAGAACATGAACCTTTTTGTCTTCAACCCAGGAAAAAAAGTACAAAAAGAACAAGTCTAGGAACAAATAAGGGAACAAGTCTTGGCTTCTACCCAAAAAAGTTAATAATAATAAAAAAAAAAAAGGCTGACACATAGGAACAAAATAAGAACACTGAGCTCCTTGGCTGTGTATCAGCTGTGCTCTATCAGTTGTCCTGTGCTTCGGGAGCAGCATCAGAGACAGGGGACAAGCTTGGTCATGGAAAGCACTACATACAAACAAATACCATTTATCTATACCATCTGGTAATGTAAGATACTAATTTACAACAAGGGATGAAGAAGAAAATCTGTCATGATTTCAGAGAAGTTGGTATTTTCTCACCTTTTCGAAGCTCTTAAGTGTAACTTCATATGTAAGCTCAGCATTAGGTTCAATGCCAAATTTAGGCTTCCCTGCCTCTCCAAAACCATATCTGAAATGGAGAGGGGGAAAAAAAAAAAACAAAACAACTTTAAAGAACTGGTTTATTTCCAGGCACCTCCTTTGGTATCTCCAGGCATCACATTAGCATAGAGCTCTCATTTGCAAACCACACACATCAGAGACCCTGAGGATAAACCAGATGTTGATCAGAAGATACAGTACCAAGTACCACTGCTGTGGTTTTTCAGAAGCCAGGCTCCGTTTAGTCTTCTTCCTCACATTCATGTGTGACGCAACACCTGCACTCCTTGGGACAGCTGGCTTAATAGAATTGTAAATGTCACTGTCTTTTTCTCTGCTTGGTTTTATATTTGGTTCTTTTAATAAAACAGCCATTATTTGACTCACTGTCTTTTTCTCTCCTTGATGTTATATCTCGTTCTGTTTTAAAAAACAGCCACTGTGACTATCAGGGCTGAAGCTTCATCAGGACCTAGAGAAGACAGGCACTCTGTTACAGTGCTGTTTGGGAGAGGTATGTTTTAATGAGCTTTTAACTTTAAAGTGCTGTCCCCTTCCATAAGTGCCATTTCCAGTCAGATAAATGGGGGGAAAGGATCACACACCAGAAAGGATATATATCCTCACAGTACTTCTTCAAGACTTTTAGAAAGCATACTAGAAAACACAAAATATATAATTTAAAAAACCAGCCCCAGCAAGCTCTAACACCTCATCAAGAGAAATACCCTGCACTGTATTCCCATAGCTCCCTGGCTGTAACACTACAAAACACTGCATTTTTTAGCCAAAACTTACTAAAAACAATTGCTGAGAATACAGAGATTTGTTTTTTTCGGACCATTTAAGATTTTAACAAACGCAAGGCATTCGAGGGAGCACACGTCTACGAGAACGGAAATTCTGATGGAGCTTTGTCTGTCTGGTTCAGTGGTTTCCCAGCATGTAGAACAATGCCCAGCATAATAGGAAAATGTTCCCTGGAATAATTCTGCTCCCATGTGTTTCAAGCCAACTTCTCTTTAATATATGGAATGGCATTGCAAAAAACTTAATAACTCAAACACTCAGGCTATGGGATGAAAGATGCCAAAACCAGATTGATGTATTAATACCTTCAGTTTCCTTTGGGGTAAGAGGATTGGAGTGGGAACACTCATCTCTTGCTGTTTGCAACACTTCTTTCCTCCCTGCCTGAATTTTTCAGGAAGAAAATGTTTACTCACATACCTCCACTGTTGCACAAGACAGCGGAAGCTGGAGCCAGAGAAAGGCACAGAGATGGCTTGAAAGCTGGCAGGAATGGGGTGTGGCAGTTCAATAGCGGGGCAGAGGGTATCTTCAGCGAAGAAATAAAAGCGGGCTAATCACTAGTGGCCGATTGTAGGAGGCGGTGACTAGGTCTCCACTTTGGGCTCTTAGACTGCAGTACCTCCTGTTTTGTTCCCGCCGCCTGGGAAATAAGGGGCATGCTTGAGCTGCTGGGGAGCAGGTGCGCAGGTGAGTCCTTGCTGAGCGCTGTTTGCTGACAGCATAGTTGTACAGTCTATTCTGTGAAGATGCATATGGAACACAGTCCCAGGGAACTGTTTTGGGAGCATCTAAACTGACCTCCAATTATACAGAAACTTGTCTGATTTACTCTGGATTAGGCTGGGTGAGGAAGGACCCACAGAGTCATCTGATTGAAAGACATGCATTTTCAGTCATGTCCGACTCTTTGCAACTCCATAGACTGTAGCCCGCCAGGGTCCTCTGTTCATGAGATTCTCCAGGCAAGAATACTGGAGTGGGTTGCCATTTCCTTCTCCAGGGGATCTTCCCGACCCAGGGATCGACCCCACTATCTCTTGCACTGGCAGGTGGATTCTTTACCCCTGCACTACCCGGGAAGCCCAACTGAAAGACCACCACAAATGGAATTTCAGGCTTAACCAAAAGATAAGCTGGGTTACAGTAACAGAAGGATTCCAGTATCAATGTTCTTAAACTGACAGGTGCCTGTGGAGGGCAGAGATACAATGACTGCTCATGACCGCTAAGCCCCTCTGTGCACACAAGAAGCACCTGCACCTCATATGCAATTGCTCCCTTTTTACAGATGAAGAAACTAAGACTCAGAACTGCTTCCTGAGAGTCACACAGAGGCAGTGGTGGAGCCAGGATTTAAATTCAGACTGTGTGGGTCCCAGAATATTGTTTAGTTTTTGAACCACGCTGCCTCATAATGAGATACTCTGGCTCTTGGCTGCCTGTTTTTGTTTGGGGTTGGTGCTGTACAGAAGACAGGGAAGAAAAAAGTAAAACTAGCCATACTTTACCTAAAACAAGAAAGATTAACCAGTCACCGTATTTAAAACAATATTAAAGACGTTGTCCTGATGAGAGGTGAGAAAATGGATTTTCTGGATGTGTTTTATGAATTATTATGAAAACATCCTGTCAAGGAGTCTTGTCAAAATCAAAGAGAAGGTATGCCCTGGAAATCTTTTGGAGAATGAAATACAGGTGACACTAAGAGTAACACCAAACACATATTTGCAGTAGCCGTATTTATAGCCACACTCAGCTGCAGGGTGTCTGTTCAGTGGGAACCTGGTAAGACAAGTGAATTCACTGCACGCGCGTCCCACAAGCCCGGGTTCTCTACGCACACAGATCTACATGGGCACGTGTGGGCAGTCTCCTGTTACAGGCGCGGCACTTCGTGCCTCCTTAACATACTAAGCAACATCTTAAAGAGGAAGTAACGTGTTCCTTTCTAACCATGCTATTTCCACAAAACGTATAAAAAATGTTTCAGACCTAGAAATTCATGAAAACTTGTTGCCTACTTATGCCTGAAAAATCTACCACATGTTAAAACAGGGTTTCCCTTTCCGTGGGGTCTGAGAGTCACCAGGACAGCAGTAACAGCCAATATGCTGAGGCCCGGGTGTGTCGGGCGCTTTGCTACGCTCCTTACACGCATTCTCTTTCTTCGTCCTCCACAGCTCTGCGGGGTAGATACTGTCATCCCCAGTTTACAGAAAAGGAAACAGACTTAGAGTCAAGTACACACGGCTGGTAAGCTGCATGTTCTTTTTCTTTTTTTTAAAACCACTAATCATATGACAATTTAAACCTGCAAGGAACCATCTGCATTAATAACTATAAGGGTAATTCCAGTTTCTCTCTGCCCATTAAAATGGAGACATCTGTTCCCACAACTGGCTTGTCACCTAGGTTAAAATGTAATAAACTGATTCATATAATATTAAACTTACAATACATACAGAACTCCTCTACAAGGAACTTAAATTTGAAAACATATGTGCGTAAATACCACTCTCTTTATATGAGCTTAGAACTAATGTAACTTTGGGATGCTGGATTAAAAATAATTAGATATTACTTAGATATGCAAGAGATGGCCCGTCTATGCCCCACCTGAGTTAAAAAATAGTTTCTTATAGAAGAGAGAACTAGATTCATCTGAGTGAAGTACAAACTACTATTTACATAGTAAATGCAAATAAAACACAAAGGTGGGACTATACTAGTTCAGAAAGGAATAAGGCAGAGAAAAAGAAGGTATTAAATTAAAGGTGCCTCAGTGAAGGCTCTAAAGGGTTCGAGATGTAGAGCATTTTGCAAGGCTTTTCAAGTGGATTAGTGGCATGACTGGAACATCATTTGAGAAATACAATTATGGCTCAAGTGTCAGGGCAAAGGTAAGTATGCCACTGGATTAAGACTAAGGCTACACAAGGCAAGCAACTGTACAAAAGGCACGAGAATACCTATTGGCAAGTGCAGGTCATCAGGATTCCCAGTCACTCAAAATCCCACTGACTGAAACCCAAGGATCCAGGGAGAGAGGAGACATGAGATAAGCAGATGCACTTTCACACAAATAGAATCAAAACACCCTGGTTTCTCTCAAGGGTCCATTTCTCAAGATAGAAGGGTTAGATCCATGGTATAATTTTAGGTCTAAAAATAATACCAAACATGTTTTCACAAGAGAGACTGTTAGTGTCTGATAGTTCTAAGCTTGGAAGTGCTAATGGATATCCTTATGATGGGAAAAATTTAGGCAAAAATGAGTCATCTCCGCTGCCTTTAGATCCAGGAAGAGCACTCTTTTTTCAGGGAGTCTGTATAAGAACAGGTGGCACATATTCAAGTGGTAATAAATCATCCAAATGTTGCTTCTACTTCCAGCCCCCACGTTTTACCGCCTCCAGCCTAATTCAGAGAAAAGGGGAGAAGGGGCAAGAGCTTCCTGTCTTGGCGACATGGCCGGCAAAACAGAGAAGCAAAACTCGCCTGTCAGTCCTACCCTGAACGCACATCAATCAAGTCAACAGGCTTACAAACCTCTGCAATATTATAAGGCCCATTAACTCACCCTAACTGTAGCCTGATTTAATTAATTGTTTCCACTCTTGGCATTAACTTCACTGAAAATAGCAAAATGCTGATTGAAAAAACAAGTGTATCCCTGTTCTTTAGATAACGTCAGTCACTGTGTACTGAACCAGTACACTGCTTACCGTGGTCCAAGATATAAAATACATTGTTCCTCACGCTGCATTTTCTCCAGGGCTTTGTCAATTCCAATTGGAATGTCGTGGTCTTCTCCTTCACCAACGATGAACCCCACATCTCTGCAATCAAACATCCTTCCACCACAGCGGCCTTCCAGGTGGACTGAGAGAGGGGAGACAGGACAGTCAGAAGAGTAGCTCCTTGTGACGGGCTAATGTAGGGCCATGATAAATGAGTATTTCCCCTTCTTCTTTGCATCTGGAGACATATGGAGTATGTCCTGTTGAAGCTTAGTCCACCCAGTTGGGAAATTTAAGAGCAATCATATTTATTTCTGTTTTAAGTTTAAACTTAAAAATTACTGTAACCATATGAATAAAATAGTTTAGCAGATAATAAAGTGGAAACAGTTCTACCTTAAGCTGACAGAGATATCCTCTACTATAACACAAGAAATACTAGATTATTTAATAGGTAATTATCAAAATGCTACAAATTTAATAGCAAGTAGATAAAGGCTTAAACATTTTCTTGGCTTCAGATGTCTAGGCTGAAAAACAACTGAATGGCTATTTCTCCCGTGATATACAAGGGTTAACTGAATACAGAAGCTCTTTTTTAAGAGCTTTAACCTCATTCACAAACATGTTTAAATAAAATGGAAAAGCCAAAGGCAACATCATCAATAACTAACACAGCTGCAATCCCTTAGTGGAATAATAAATGTAAAATGTGAAGCAATGTCAAGTCTGCAATAACTTGACAAATCAAATTTCTCAGCCACCTCCTCAGAAATGTTAAGAGGTCAATTTCTCAGGGCCTACTTTGCCACTGCACTCAAACTCAGCTCATTTGCAGGGTAATTTCATATTAGATAAGGGGCTTTATGTTAGTATAATATAGGAAAAATGCACATAGATATGTATTTTCCTCTTGATTAGTTAGACTTTTCCTTCTGGGATAAACAATTCTCTGAAACTTTCCAACTATGTTTAGCATTAAGGATATTCATTCCTTTCCATTTAGGTCTTTGACTCAGTAAGAAAAATGGATGGTTTGTATGACAGCACAGCAGCCAAAAAGCAATATAATAATTTATCTTTCATAAAAAATTCTTTATTCCTACTTCTGTAATATAATGGCCTTGGTTCAAACGTAATGAATTCCTAAAATGCTTCTTTTCTAAGACTGGTTGGGCTACTTTAGATCAATAACTTGTTTTAGAGACTAAACATCACTTGTCCTGTTACACCCGTTCCATGAGACGGTTATCTTCCAAATACAAATCCAATTCCAACTTGTACTTTTCAAATTCTGAATCTCAAAGGTCCTTTGAAACTCTAAAACTCTATAGTTCTATGACCCAGTAATGTAACTCTCGACTCAGACCAGAAACTAGTTTCAAAGCTAATTCCTGTAATTTGATCAGGTTACCTTTAGCCCAGGCCTAAATGAGAGAAACTCTGAAGAGTAAACAGCAGTGGCATAGATACTAGGGGCCGAAATGTCACATGGACACTTACACTTTCAAGTTTTCTACCCTTTTCTAATCACTAGGATTAATACTATCCCGATTTGTTCCCATCACAGATATAGGATGGAGCCAGACACTTGGGCCAAACTAGAGAAGGCCTGACTTGAATCAGACCCTCTAAACAGGGGCAAGAGCTAGACTGGCTCTCAGGGTGGAGCTAGAATAGAGGAATTTTGTTCTGTTCCATACTCAAATACAGATGACTCTCAATTAACTCACCTTTGGAACATTCTAAATAAAATACAACTTAGCTTGCAGCACGGTGAAAGTTCTCTCAGAAACAGTCCCAAATAAATTCAACTTTATTATTTTAAAATACATACACACCTGAGAGATTCTGCAGGAAATTCTAAGCTTAATATATTTTTACTAGAGGGCCTTCCCTGGTGGTCCATGGCTAAGACTCTGCGCCCAATGCCGGAGGCCTGGGTTCCATTCCTGGTCAGGGAACCAAATGTCTGTCTGCATGTGGCAACTAAGCCCAGGCACAGCCAAGTCTTTTTTTTTTTTTTTAAGATATTTTTTACTAGAGTAAAAGCTCGTATTTCTAAAGGATGTGAGAGTTCTAAAAAGTTTATGTTCCTAAATATTTTAAAATCTGCCCAAGAAATTTAGACTAATGTGATGACACTTTTCATGAAAAAAAGATTTGCTGAGCAAAGTGAATTTCAGCCCACGTATTGTAGCACATCTCAAGCGTTGAGATTTATGATCCTAGTAGCTCACAACTTTTTCTGTGTGAGGTTTATTGTTAGAAGTGTTTTCCTGCCTGAAGGAGAGAACATTTAGTGGGGGAGGAAGCTATCAGTACGTTCATTGTGGTTTTAGGTTGATCAAGTTTGAATGTGTTTTCAAAACAGGAAATCCAGAGACTCTGCGAAAGATTCCTGCCTGTGTGTCAGTTTCCTAGGCCGGTTTTCAGCTTGATGCATATACTTTACCTTAAAATTATATAAATGATTTCAGAAAGTCTCCTTACATGTGATAACCCTTCATGTTAGGGAAAGAAGAGACTGGCTACTAATAAACATGCTGGGAAAGATAAGTGAAGCAAGCAAGCAAGCAAAAAAAAAAAAAAACCCTTCAAGTCAAATTATAATGAAGGTATAATTAAGAAAGCCAAAAAGAAAAAAAGTTCACCGCAGCTGGTCTAAGAGGGATAATACTGGGAGAACCAGTGTTTTTAGCCACCCAATAGGGAAACATTTGCAATAACGCTTACAAACACTTACTACCTTATAGAGGAACTAATCTTTTTTTTCTATTAAATCTCTTTTAAGCTGAACCTGAACAAGCACTATAGTACCACAAAATCTTAAATTGATAAACTGATATGCATGTGTGCACACACACAGCAGTCTGTATGTGGGTATATAAAACCTTTTAATATTGACATTATCTGGAATGTCAGCGCAAGAGGAGGTGTTACACCCTTAGCTAGTAGAGAGTCCATTGATTCTTTACAAGTAGCAAACCCTATTGCTAGGTTAACTGGTTTCTAAAATTGGAACACTGGTGTGACATGTTTCATGAGACAGCTGACAAGAACTCACACCCCATCCTGGAGCTACACAAATGCCTGCTGATTACCACAGCAGGGTCCCCCATCATGGGGACAGATGCAGACATGTCTGGCTCCCATCTATCTGTTTTTAAAAAATTGTCTCAACAATTGCTACCAAAGAAAACCATGGCAGCTCTGGCTGTGGAAGACCTGTGGTTGCTTTTGACCTTGTATCACTTAGTGCAAATACTCATTTAATAAATATTTAATAATAACCATCATGACTCACTGGGAGCTCGGCCTCGAGGGCTCAGGAGGTCTGTTGCTAATTCCAACCAGCCTGATTTACGGGAAGTAAATGATCTATGACGTGCCCAAAGAGAATAGAAGTACATACAGGATGCTTCTACTTAGGGCTTTTTTTGGGGAGAGTAAGAAATACACAAGTTAAAAAGGGACAACATTTTCTCTTGACTTCAAGTCTACGTAACTTAAAGGGGGGAGATCCTCCAAACCCCATGAAATCAAACCAAACTGAATTACCCGAGCCTCCCCTCGCAATCTGAGCGTAACCACATCAAGTGAGCCTGGTCTGCTGCAAAACATCACTTAAACTGGAGCTCTGACTTATTGTTCTCTTACTGCCCTAGAGCAATTTTGTTTTGAAGAGCACAGAACACCCTGTTCTGAATGTGGCTGGCACATGAACTCGATGTGCTGACAGCAATTTGTACTCTGATTAAAATGGGGGGGTGGGGTGGGGAGGAAAGAGTGAACTGGAGTAAGGAAAGAAAAAAAAAACTGGAATGCAAGACTCTAAAAACTTGCATTTTGGGTATAATTTGTATTTTAGGAAGCAAAACTGAGAAAGAGGCTCCATAACCTTAAAAAAAATGAAAAAGGGCTGTAATCCCTCCAGCCTAAAGACGGTTAGCTCTGGTGAGTGTTTTTCCCTTTTCTAATTATAGTAGTTGGTGTCTGATAGCTTTGCACTCATTCCCAAAACAATTACTGGGTCATGGGGATCTGAATGGGAATGTTGTAATGGCATTACTACTAGACAACACTGGCCATTTAGCCAGAGAAAACCAGGTTGTGACAGGTTCCTCCCACTCGGCAAGGGTTTTCTCTGCTGCCTACTTCGTGCCAAGGGAGTTTCTCTCTGCCTGCGTCTCCTGCCTAAGAGAGCAGAGCACTCAAGAGATGGGGATCTTAATGACCTCCTTGGAGAGGCAGATCCAGAGGTGGGTTTCTCAAATCAGGAGAGGGATATTAATCACTGAGCAGAAGAGGCACTGCTCCCCTCAGGCACGGTAGCCAACTCCCCCCACACTGCTGCCTGTCCTCCTCCTCGCCATTTTGTCCTGTGATGAACTAATACCATCGGAAGGCTGCTCAAGGCACTGACGGACAGAAGCTAGCTGAGAGCAGGCATGGAACCTGGCTGCCTGAACAGAATAACATTTATGAAAATGGTTATACATCTCAGTCTTAACAGGAAGCATACACACAGCAACACATTCTATACCAATACACCTCCTCACCACTCTCCTCTTCACACTAGTACAGCACTTGAGTCACTGCTGGATTCCAGTCCCATTCAATCACTTAATAGTTGTGGCTTTAGGCAAGGTCATTTAAATTATCCAAAGATCAGTTTCCTCATCTATACATTAGGGAAGCAATGTTAGCTAACTCCTAATTGTTGAGAGGATTAAATTAGGTACTGAATTAAAGCTTTTAGCCCAATACTTGACATCTAGTCATTTATATGTCAGGGCAGCTACTATGTGAAAACACTATGTGTGGCTACACAGAGGTGAACTCTATGAACATTAGCTATGATTATTTTCCTGCAATTAGTGGTAAATTATACCAAATTAAACAAAAATTAGAACTTGGTATGAGAAACCAGTTAATGGCTCCACAGAGAGAGCTGTCAAAATGTTAATAAAATTCAAAGTAGGCAAAGGCAATATCTTATGCTTTTGTACCTCGCAGTGTGTGTAACTGTGGGTACAACACACAGTTCAGGGCCAGAAAGTAAATATTTACTTAATGATTAACCTGAAAACAGGGCATTAAGGAAAATGGTAGTAATTTTCACTCATTTATAGGAATTTT